ACAGCCAATTGAAAATAATTAAGAACTTGTGTTAAAAATAGCATTATTCAAGTGTTCAGTAAATCACCTGTCCAAGTTTGAAAACACATGTTAAACCTGCAAGGAAATTGAATGTCATTGATGAACCTCATACCTGGATCCACAACGATAATTTGAATTTCCTTCTGGTTGAATTTGAATCATTTTTTTAATTGGTTTGCAGGAAGATATTTTCACATTTGTGAGGTAGGTTTATCACTTTTTCAGATTTGAAAAAATGATAGACGATGGAGAAGAGGAAGAAGCGATGTTAGAGTTTACTCCAACTTGCGTGGTGGCTGTCATAGAAGAATCCATGGGATTTGAAGACAAGATATTCTACATGAAAGTCACACAGTTAGAGGCAAACACTGCTGAGTGCAAGTATAAACTTGTGTTCGTCCTCAATGCATCCTCTACTGTAATAAATGGAACAGAAAAAACAACTGACAAACACAAAGGGTTCTATGTATTGTAGACGACATCAATTATGATAATCAAGACATCTCACCACCATCAACAAAGCGATTTTTCTTTCGAACCTGAAGTGAAGAAATTACAGAGAAAGGAAAATTACACTAATCATGGTGGTCTGTATTTGAGAAAACATAAATGTTACAATCTAAAAGATTGATGTAGTTGTTTTTCTATGTCCATCTTGTAGCGACTTTGTTTTATTTTATAGCATCATTTACAGAAAGTTCATGCCCTTTTGATTTGTAAATTAGTTTTTTTTGCACTTGTCCATCAAAACTGTTGATGTGAAGAAGAATGTATAACAATGATGCTTTAGCTTATAACTTATGTGATGGAATCTGTCGTACTTTTGAAATGTATAAAATGATATTTTCCAATGTCTAAATTGACTTTTATTCCGTATTAAATACATCATTCATTATACTTATACTTATGAATTAGAATTTCTTAATGTATTGATTAATAAGAATAATAGTTATTGGTAGTTTTATTATTTAGATAACTAATTTTGTGGTTTCTTTAATTTCTTGAAACTGAATGACCAACGGTTATGCATTTTCATCAAATTTTTGATGATTTTTAATAGTTGTGTTTGAATTCTTAGGTATTTAGGAGGAAAGATGATTAAGATTTTTAAAAAATGTGGAAGGGAGTACAATAAACTATTTGTGATTACATCAACCATCTTCTCTTCCCCATCCTTTCAGTTTCTAGGTCAATTAGTTCATTTTAATCATTTCGCAATTGGAATTGTTAGTGAATTACTTGAATGTAATTGACTTTAATTTAACATAGGTTGTTGATATAGATGTTAGTTTTGAACAGAGACTCTTGACGATGCATTCAAGTGATTGAATAAAATTGACAAGTTTGAGGACAGGCATTTTCGGGTGAAGATGGAGTACGGTGTTATTGGTAAATTGATGAAGAGGCTAAAAGTAGCTGAAGGGAAGGAAAAATTTCTTATTCGGGTAAAGTTGAATAAGGCCATGATGATGGTAAAATCGAAAGAAGCATATGATCCAAATGATCCCACCAATTATGGAATCATTCAGAATGATCAGTTACGATCTTGCGTTGATCTTCTACAAGATGTTGGTTTTGAAAGGGAGCAGCGGTTGATACAAGGTGGAGAGAGTAATGATGACTTACAGTTTGATAACATGAAGGAGAAGAATACTATAATAATGGAAAAACCTCATGAATTAGACAAGATACTTGAGCAGAACCTGTTGGCATTGGATAACACCTTTCGAAACAAAGAGAAGATTCTCGAGGAAGAAATTAGAGATCTTGCTGAGGAAACGAACTCATTGATTGAGAAGAACAGAACACCTCTCTACAGGAAAATATGCGGATGCCTATTCTGCCTTTCTTAATATACTAATAACTGACTTGAGCCTTCTAAGCAATTTTTTACTAAAACTAAATGATTATTTCCTTACCATTTTTCTCTGGAAGCTTT